GGGCGTCGCGAACAGAAGCAGGAACGGCGGAAGCTCTCGCGCCGTCCTTGGCCCCGAGCCCTCGCGCGGATCCTCGGATCGGCCCTGGGCCGAAGCGTCGGGCACAGTGACGAGGTCGAGAGTTCTGCTCGTTGTTTTGTCCGCGACGTTTTTCTTCCCTAATCTCTAATGGCCTTCGGCCCATCCCACCGCAGTGCCTGGGTTGTGGGTCATGGGCCTCCTGGATGTTTGTTGGGATGTCGTGGCAGGCCTCTCGGGGCCTGTTGGAGGCAGCTTTGGGGCCTCTCGGGGGCCGTTGTTGGGACTCTCGGAGCCTTTTGGGGGAGGTTGGTGTTTGATGGGGGTGTCTTGGGGGTCTCTTGGGGCCTTTTGCCGACCTCTTGAGGATATTGGGGGCCTTTTGGGGCGGTGAGCTCGAACTGTGGATTTGTGCTCCCCCTTTGAGCCTCTTTGGGCGTTTCTGGGACAGCCTGGCGCCGTGTTGGAGGCCTCTTGTGTTAAATCGTGTGTGTCCCTCTACAGGAGGAATATTCAAAAATAGTGAAATATTAGTCTGGGGACGATTTTTGGAATATTTTTGAATATTTGTGTTGAGTATTTCAATTTTTCCTAACTCTTGTGCCGTTCGAAGAGCCTCTTGGGCCATCTCGGCGCTCTCTTGGGGGCCTCTGAGGCTGTCTTGGCGCGATCTTTGGGGGCCTCTCGGGCCGTCTTGGAGCTTCCGGAAGCCGAAAGACAGAAAGCGAACATCGTTCGCAAACCTATGAGGATTCAATTCATTTTGCCTCTGAGGGTCCTCTTGGGAGTGCTCTTGGAGGCCTCCTGGGGCGTTTTGGAGGCGTCTTCGGCCGCCTGGGGCCCATCTTGAGCGTCTTGGAGCGATCTTTCGGCGACTCTGGGCCCTCTTCGACTGTGCGGGTGGCCTCCTGGGGTTTGCTTGGCTCGTTTTGGGGCGTTCCTGGGCGAGGGGACCGTCCCGGAGGCCCACGCGAGAAATCCCAGCGGCGCCCAAGAGCACCCAAGAGCACTCAAGATCACCCAAGAGCTCCCAAGAGCGCCCGGGGAACTGGGGGTCTGGGCTCAGTAAGAACCCTACAAACCTTAGGTCGGGCATGTCCGTCTACGGGCGGATGCTGGACGAAACATGAAAATAGTCAAACAATGTTCAAAAGCAGTCAAAACATAATAGGAAAATCGTCCCCAGACAATTTCTTTGACAATTTTCGAATCTTCCTCCTGTAGAGGGACAGGCCCGACTTACTACAAACCCTCTACCTCTGAAGGCTGCGTGCGCCCTGGGGCACTGCACTACGTGCGGAAGGCACGGTGGCGGATGACTGGAAGCCTCCGGTGTGCACTGCTGCTTCAGGGGTATGATAGAAGTCTCATGGCGCCCACATCGCGGAGCGGACTTCGTTCGGAAAGCCATGGCGCGGGCCCGGTTGTCCTGGAGAATGTCGTTCTGGATTTCGGAGTGGATTTCGTGTGGATTGTTTTTGGCGGGGAAGGAAGACTACACAAAATCCACGCGAAAGTCTTTTCGTTTTTCGCTCGCCGTTTCGGGGTCTTGCATTAACAGAAGTCCACGCGAAATTCCGCTGAAGTACGTCTGCAAGGTCGGTGCAGTGAGAAGTCTTTCTAACTAAAGAGTTCGGGTCGCACCAGGGAGCTCGCTGGCGGATGGCGGGAAGCGTCTTCGAGGAGCTCGAAGCGAGAGTTGGACGTTCTGGCTGAATCCTTGAGCATCTTCTTGAGATCCTTCAATATATGAAGTGGCGCGCTCCAAAACAAACATCCGATTCAGAACACTGCGCGTTTCGCTTGAGACAACCTCACAAAACACGAGCTATCTACAACATCGTCTTTTACAACAACAAGCGTTTCGCCTGAGACATCCTCCACGCCATGAAAACCAAACATTCAGGACTTTTTCGAACATGAGCGTTCCACCTGAGACATCCGCGAAACAGTAAGATGCCGACCGAAGTGTTTTACTACCTCTTATGTTGCAAACGACGCTCTCGCTCGAGACATCCTCCGAACATTTTGAGGAGCATGGTAAACCAACGTAGCTTTATCTTCGACGTTGTCTTTTAAAGTGGCCACTTCGCTAAGGACATCCTCGCAATTCTGAGGTGCTCCAAACATCGTGTTGATATCGTTTTCAGTTGGTCTCAAGATAGCTCCAAAGAGTCCAAAAACAGCGACAAAATGACCCCTAAGAGCGCCGTCGAGGCTGCCAGAAATGACGGGTGAGAATGCCTCACAACACATGAAACACACCCAACATCGCGCCAACACAAATCCCCTGAGCACCCCGCTCACCCGTCGCGGGGTTGCGCTCGCAACAGCAGCGTTGGGTGTGCGCCGAAGCCTGCGCTGCGCCCCGTGGCGCGGGCGCCGGGCCAAGAGGGCGCGGGCGCCTCGGGTGGCTTCGGCGCTGGTCGCAACGCGACCCAGCAACGGGCGAAGACGCGGTGGGCTCGGGTGGTTCAAATCCAGAGGGCGGGGTGCACGCCCCACGTCCTGCGTACAAATCTATGAACCTCCGCAGCGCCGCGGCGGGCGCGGGCACCACGCGGAAGGGCGGGGACCTGTCCACATCGCCTGCGGCGCGCCGCGTCGCGTGCGGGCAGTGCGGCGACACGGCGCTGTTCGCGCATGCGTCCGCCGCGCATCCCTGGGGCCGGCGAATGTGTGCGACGGAACGAAGGGCCGATTTCGTGCCATACGCGCGAATTCCCTGAGCGCCCCGCTCACCCGTCGCTGGGATGCGCTTACAGCAACAGCGTTGGGTGTGCGCCAAAGCCTGCGCCACGCCCCGTGGCGCGGGCGCCGGGCCAAGAGGGCGCGGGCGCCTCGGGTAGCTTCGGCGCTGGTTGCAACGCGATCCAATGCGATGATGCGGCTGGCGCCAGGTGCCGCCTACCCGTTGCGCACGCGGTGCGCGGCGCTCGGGCGCACGGACGGCGGTCGCAGCTGTTCGACACGCCAGAGCTGCTGTGCGAGCTGTCCGAGCTGTCGGACGCGGCGGGGTGCGCGGCCGCCGCGCGCGCGCGCCCGGCCCGCCTGCGGTGTGGCGGGCGAGGTAGGCGTCTGACGCCCAGCCTCCCTGCCCCTTTGTCGCGGCAGTTGGCGCGCACACGTAGCCGACACGTCGGCGTGACACTTTGCCCACGACCCGTTGCGCACGCGGTGCGCGGCGCTCGGGCGCACGGACGGCGGTCGCAGCTGCTCGATTTGTCCGAGCTGCTCGAGCTGTCCGCTCTGTTGGGCGCGGTCTTGCGCGCGGCGGCCACGCGCTCGCGTTCGAGTCGACCGCGCTCGCGATCGATGTAGGCGAGGTAAGCGTCTGACGTCCAGCCCCCTCGCTCCTTCATCACGCCAATTGGCGCGCCCACGCGGTCGATGTCGTCGGCGTGCCCCAAGGCACCGAAGGGTGCCGAATGGCTGCCGTGGTGCGTAGCGCGGGGGCGCGCGCGCCGCGACCTGCGGATGTCGTGCGTGCCGAAGCGATGGGCTCCGGCCACGCTTAATCTTAAGTCGGGCCTGTCCCCCTACTGGAGGATTTTTCAAACATAGGTTTTTTTTGTGCCTATGTCGGAGTATTTGTGACAGTTTATATTTTTTCCTGCAAGATTTGCCTGCAGGGGGACATGCCCGACCTAGTCGGGCCAAGAGGGGCCGTGATAGCTGCCGAGCGCCCGACCCCGTGAACTGTGCAAGCAGTTGGGTCGATCGCCGTGTCGAGCAGCAGCGGCGCAGCAGCGCATGAAGCGCGCGCGCGCGCCCCAGGAGACCCTCCAGAAGCAAATTACTTGGGGACTTTCCTTCCGTCTGTCGGCCCGGTCTGTCCTTTCCTGTCGTCTTCCTCCCTCTCCCCTTCCCTCTCTCGCTCCTCGGCTCCCTGGCCCGCTTTTCTTTGTCGGCCCGTCCCGCGGTCCGAGTAAGAGCTGCGGTAGCCTGGCGTTTGCTGCAATGTGAGACATATGGACATCGCCATGGCACCAGGGGACGGACCCAACCAAGATGGCACCCTGAGCGCCCCAGAGGCAGGACCCCAAGCGGCACCGAAGAGGCGCCCCCCAAACCCCCACGAGGCCCCAAAGAGGCCCCACAACCCCCCCAGAATCCCCCAAGAGGACATCCCAAGAAACCCTCATATACGACGTCGCCGAGGCTCCCCAGGCGGCCAATGACGGACCCAGGATTGGTGAGGGGCCGAAGATGGGGAAGTCCACGGGACAAGAGTGATCGATTTGTTCCCATGCTTGTTTGCCCTCGGTCGAGGATCTCGTGCTGGCGCGCATGTTACTGCCGCTGGTCTTGCTCCTCACATTATTCTCCCTGTCCACCAGTTGCTTCTGGCTCATTCCCCCATGGCGGCACCGGGGCTCAAGGAGCTCTCTTTCCCAAGACGACTTAGATGCCTTCCAAGACGGCCAAGATGGCTCAAGATGGCCTCAGAGATGCCGCCAACACTGCCAAGAAGCCCCCTACGACGCCCCAAGAGGCCCCCAAGAGGCCTCCCAGGAGAGCCCCAAGAGGCAAACATGGCCCCATTCCCTTTGGAAGATGGACCATATTCGCCTCTTGGGATTTCACGGCGTCCAAGGCGGCCCGAGAGGCCCCCAAGATCGTCCCAAGTCGGCCCAAGAGGCCTCCAAAGGAGCACCAAGACGGCCCTAGAGGGCCCCAAGACGGCCGAAGATGGCCCCAGGACGCCCCAAGAAGGGGCCCAGAGGGGGTCCACGAACGGACCCCACAAGACCCCCAAGAACTGTTCGCGTCAGCTTGTCAAGGGCAGGGGCGTGCTTGAATCTAAACGCGCGGAACGCGCGCGTGGTTTTATGTATATGTATTTGTATATGTATATGTATATGTATATGTATATGTATATGTATATGTATAGGTACATGTATACATATCGGTATATATCGATGTATGCGTGTATATCTATGTATGTGCACTTGCATGTTATATATATATATATGCATCTGCACATGTATATGTGTATGTGTAGGTGTATGTGTACGTATATGTAGATACATATCTACATGTATAGGTTTAAGTACATGCATATGTGTACACAGCCGTGACAACAGTTTCTTTAATTTGCTATGATGAAGATCTCTCCCATCCCTCTCAAGATTCCAAACATGACATGATGCTGGGATCATTCGGCGGAATAGTTTCCGATTCCGGAGACGTTAATAACTCTGTTACCCCCAAACGGGATCGGAAACTAGTCCGCGCCAAACCATATAAGTTGTCGAGCGGGATGCGATTGCGCGCGGAGTAGTTTTAGTAAACTACTCCGGAGTACTCCGCATGAACGTGTCATTCCAAAAGGCAAATTGAAAGAAGATTTCGTCACGGCGATGTATGTATATTATATGTATACAGAATGAGTATGTTTGTGTATGTATATATGTATATGTATAGGTATATGTAGTTGCATACATGTATGCATACATGTACACATACACATGAACACATATATATATATATATATATATATATATTTATTTGTTGATATATGTATATATGCAAATGTTTATGCATACATATAATATGTATACGTATACGTATATGCATATGTTCATGCATATGTACATGCATATGCATATGCATGCGTAAACGTACATGCACATGTACATGTATATATATATATATATATATGTGTACATAAAAATAAAGTATAGTATTTGGTGCACACTATGTGGTGAAGCTACTACTTGAAACCCTGCGGTACAGAGTCTGCAGTACAGTTTTGATGCACAAGGTATGTGGTGCCAGCCTACGCATCTATGTTGTGCAAGTTACGTCGTGCAAGCTATGTGGTGCAAACTGCGGGGTGTACGCTATGCGGTACAGGCCATGTGGTGCACGTTATGTGGTGCAATCTATGCGGTGTCAGTTATGTGGAGCCATCTATGTGGTGCAATGTCTGCGTTGTAGCGTGTGTTGCCCAAAGTATGCAATGTGTTGCAACACATGTTGTGCCACCTATTGTTGTACAGGTTATGAGGTGCAAACTCTGTGTGTTGAAGCTCTGTGGTGCGATCTATGCAGTGTAAGGTATGTGGTGCTAAATGTGGTGCAAGTCGTATGGTGCGAGCTCAGTTGCGCAAGCTCTGTGGTACAACCTATGCGGGGCAAGTTGTGTGATGAGGTATGTGGTTCAAGCTTTCCGGTGTAACGCATGTGGTGGGAGCTGTGTGGTGCAAGGTGCGCCGTGCAAGCTATACGGAGCAACGTATTCTGCTCAAACTGTGTGGTGTGAGCTACTTGATGCAAGCTATGTGGTGCAGGCTGGGTGGTGCAAGCTGTCCCAGCCAACGCATGGGGGCCCCCCCGAGGCGCCCACGCTCCGGCACGTGCCAGGCACCCATGGATCCTAGCTGGCGCACGAGGCGCCAACGAGGCGCCCGCGGCCGGGCACCTGCCGAAAACCCGCGCATCCCAGCCAGAGCGCGGGGTTCCCACGAGGCGCCCACGGCCAGGCACCAGCCGAAACCCCGGCACACCCATCCAGTCAATAGGCTGCTTAGCAGCACGAGCAAGAGCCCCTGCGTGCAAGCAGTGCTTGGGAATCTGCTGAGCCTTGCAGGGGCCCGTCCTGGGCCCAGGATCAGGGCATGTACCCGCCTTGGCCTGGTCAGGAAAGCGCAGGCACGGATCCTGGGCCCAGGGTCGGAGAGCTGGCGCCAGCCGACCAGCTTGCAAGCTTGTAAGCTTGGGGGCTGTTCACGCTGTGTGTCGTTCTCCGCCACCTATATCCCGAGTAACTACTGCCTTTTTTCCCTTCGTCTCGACCGAAGAAATTGATGAAGTGATGAGGATTTATGCCTATGAACTCGGCATCTCTTGACTTGAGCGCGGCGCAGCGCAAAGAAGCGTCATGCCCCCGGAGGTGATCGACGACGGGGTGCGAGCCGTCAGCACTGGCAGCGGCTACTCCGCTTTCCTGCTGGCAGACGGCGGGGTCCTGACGGTAGGAAACAACCAGCTCGGCCAATTGGGCGATGGCACCACCACAACGAGAAGCACGCCACAGAGCGCGCTTATCGAAGACGTGTCTGCAATTTCCGCGGGACAGTGGCACCTGGTCTTCCTGAGGTATGATGGCACAGCGTGGGCTACAGGATGGAACACACTGATCAATGCGGGAGCCTTGGGCGACGGCACAAATGATGCGGGAGTGTCGAGCGACCGAGCAATGCCGGTGCAGGTGCAGTCTGTCACTGCTGTGCAGGCAATCTCCGCGGGCAAGTCGCACACGCTGTTCCTCCGCGCGAACGGTGACGTTTGGGGGACTGGCCAGAACTGGCAAGGCGAGCTTGGCCTCAACAACAACGATTCGCCTCTGTACTCGCCTGTGCGCAATACTTATGTAGACGGCGTGCAGGCCATCGAGGCTGGGGAGGGATGTTCATTTTTTGTCAAAGCGAGTGGCGAGGCGTGGGCTTCGGGGTCCAACGCAAATGGCCGGCTCGGTGATGGCACCACGCAAGACAGATACAGTCCAGTGCTGGTGCTGAGTGGTGTGCAGAGCGTCTCGTCCCTGAATGAGCACACGCTCTTTCTGAAAGCAGACGGCCTGGTTTATGCAAGTGGGGGAAACGCGTATGGCCAACTGGGGACTGGGCGCTACGGCGATGAATACGAGCCTGTCAAAGTCGCGGTGGACCATGTGATTAGCGCAGTTGCGGGAGAATACCACAGTTTCTTCTTGGCGAGCAGTGATGCCAACACCGAACTGCCTTGCACTGCCGGCACATCGGTCTTCGTGAGCGGGCTGTCTATCGACCTCGAGATGTGGCTGGCGCACCAAGGTCAGCGAAGCCTTCGATGCCCCGAAGGCTTCCTCGGCTCCGTGGAGGTTGAGTGCTGGAATGGCGAGCTCAGCGTTACCGAGGATCATTGCAGTATGTCTACGGCGGCTCCGACACCTGCCCCGACCCCGGCGCCGACGGCCGTCAGTTGTGAGCCAGGCACGGTGGCCACCGGCGCACCGGCCAACATGGAGGGAGTAGAGGCCGTGCTGCCGGCACCGCTGCCGCACTTGGGGCAGGCAATCGTTCCTTGCTCCGAGGGCTACATCGGCGCGGCGATCTTGGAGTGCTCGGAGGGTGCCGTTGCAGTTGTAGATAATCTTTGTGAAGTCATTCCTGCTGGGGTTCCTACACCAGCGCCGCTCCTGGGATGTGGGCCCGGCGAATCGGCAAGCGCAGAAGGCGCCGAGGTCGTTCTGGCATCACCGCTGGCGCATCTGGGAATGAGGGTCGTGGCCTGCTCCGATGGCTACGTCGGCGCGGCGGTCGTGGAGTGCTCGGAAGGCGCCATTTTCTTCGTGGAGAACAGCTGCGTGGCCGCGCCCTCGCCAGCTCCGACGGCAGCGCCGACTCCGTCGCCAACGGCCGCTGGCTGTGAGCCTGGCGAGGTGTCCACTTCGGTGGGCGTAGATGTCAGTGTGGCCTCCGCCCTGCCGCATCGGGGAGTGATCATCGCCCTATGCCCCAGTGGCTACGTCGGCACAGCGGTCGTGGAGTGCTCGGAGGGCGCCCTCACGGTCCTGCAGAGCAGTTGCGCAGTCGCTTCAACGCCAGCGCCCACATCAGCGCCGACCCCAGCGCCGACGGGCGCGAGCTGTGAGTCTGGCGCTGCGGCGAGCACAGAAGGCGCCGAGGCCGTGCTGACAGCACCCCTGCCGCATCACGGGCTGAAGATCGTTCCCTGCTCCGAGGGTTACGCCGGGGCGGCAGTCGTGCACTGTTCGGAGGGCGTCCTCGAGTTTGTAGCCAGCACTTGCGTCGAGGTCGTGACTCCCGCGCCAGCTCCGTCTGAGCCGCCCACCCCTGCGCCGACCAGCACCAGCTGTGCGCCTGTCGACTTGACCAGCGAGGCCGGTTTGGTCACGCCGCTGCTGGAGCGTGGGCTGACGATCGTTTCTTGCGCAGAGGGCTATGTCGGCGCAGCGGTCGTTGAGTGCTTGGCGGGCGACGTCCGGATTGTACAGAACAACTGTGTGGCCAACCCCACGCTGGCTCCAACTGGGGTCCCGACCCCAGCGCCGACGGCCGTCGACTGTGAGCCTGGCGAGACGGCCATCGCGGAGGGCGCGGAGGTCAATCTGACAGAACCTCTTCCGCACCAGGGTCTGGCGGTCGTTTCGTGTTCTGATGGCTACCGCGGCGCAGTAGTCGTAGGGTGCTCGCAGGGAGCCCTCGAAGTTGTACAGAATACTTGCGTAGCCGCTCCCACACGCACTCCTACAGTGGCCCCGTCTCCGGCACCGACAGCCGCCAGTTGCGAACCTGGCGAAGTGACCGTCGCGGAGGGCGCCGACGTCAACTTGACATCTCCCCTGCCGCACCAGGAGATGCGAGTTGTTCCCTGCTTCAGTGGCTACGTCGGCGCGGCGGTGGTGGAGTGCTGGGAGGGCACCCTGAAGCTTGTAGAGAACAGCTGCGCCGCGGGCTGTGCATCTGGCCAGGTGGCCGCCGTGGCGGGCGACGAGGTTGTGCTCACGGCGCCGCTGCCTGAGCACGGGCGGAGCAGTCTGGCGTGCCCCGCCGGCTCCCTCGGCACTGTCGTCGTGGAGTGCTCGGAGGGCGCGCTCCGCGTCGTGGACAGCAGCTCCTGCTCGGCCCTCTCGGCCAGCCCGGCGCCGACGGCCGCGGGCTGCGCGCCCGGCCCCGTGCTTGGGCTGCAGGCGGGCGAGGTGGTCCTCCCGGTGGAGCTGCCGCCCGGCGGGCAGCGCAGCGTCGCATGCCCGCGGGGCCTCGTCGGCGCTGCGGTGGTGGCGTGCACGGGAGGCGGCCTCGGCGTCGTGCGCCACGACTGCGCGGTGGCACCGTGGGTGACCACGATCACCCTGGAGCCTGCCGCGTCGGGGGCGACGATTGTCGTTGTTGCCTCGGAGGCCGGGCTCGCCGTGGGCGACCAGATCCGCATATCCAGCAGCGGGCGCTCGGAGGTCAGGACCATCGCCGGCTTCGGAAGCATCATCCTGGACTCGCCCCTGACGTACGCGCATCCGCAGGGCGCCACGGTGGAGAAGCTGCCCGACACCGAGGGGGGCCCGGAGGTCACAGGGCACCTGGCCGGGGCAGAGACCATCATTGTCACCCTGGCGACCGCCCTGGCCCTCGCTGTCTGCTGCTGCGTGGCCGTGACGGCGTGCTGGCAGCGGGAGCGGAGGCTGAGGGCCCCTTGCAGGGAGGAGGCGGCGGGCCTGAGGGAGCTTCGTGAAGAGGCCGAAACTGCGGCACCCGAGCCGGGGGCGAAGCTGATGAGCCCGTGCAGCGGGGAGGGGAGGGCGGACCAGGCTGGGGGTCTGCGGGCGGAGCGGCGTCTTCTCGGGGAGCCACCGGCCGCTCGCGGGCGAACGCTCCTGGAGCTCCAGGCTTCCTCCCCGAAGAGCTGCAGCAAAATCTCCGACCACCTCTCTTGCCTCGACGCCTTCCCAGGCCTCGCCGAAGAGAGGCTCACGCACCCGAGCTTGGGGACCGTTCCCACGTACTTCCCAGAAGGGAGTGTCTCCTACCTCTGAACAGCATTGAGCCGCCGGCGCGAGCACGTGATAGAGCAGAATCGGGGCAACGTAAGACTCGAGTACGCCGGAACTCGGGTTTGCCGACGCTTTTTGACGAGCGCATCTGGGATTGTAACGGTCCAACTTTCTTGGGATGTTTGCAGCGAGAGTTCGCGTCAAGTTTCAGACCAGGTTTCGTCGTTTTCATGATGGCCCCGCCAGGCCAGCCCGAGTCCCCCGAACCCGAGTCACGTCTCCCCGACAGAACGCCGAGGGCGCTTCTGTGTAGAGTGCTGTCCGCGCCCATCGCTCGGTCGATACCTCCGAGCACGGGCGAGGCGCGCTGCGGGCTGGCAGCCGTTGCTCGTGCTGGATGGCCTCTCGGGGTGCTCTTGGAGGCCTTTTCTGGCCCGCCTCCTACGGGCCCTCATGGGGGCATCCCCGGGGGCCCCTCAGGGGTCCTCAGGGTTCTTCTTGCAGCCTCTTAGGGGCCCCCAAGGCCCTTTTGAGTTTCCCCTCGTTGGGTCTCTCATGGAGCCCTCTTGGGTGGTCCTTGGGCCCTACTTGGGGGCCTCGGGGCCGTCTTGGAGTGTTGTTGGGGGCCTCTTGGGCCATCTTGGACGCTCTCGAGAGCGAAAGTGCGAGTATGCGAAAATTACATTATTTGGCCCCTCGGGCTGGCTCAACCATTGTGTGCTTTTTGTGCTCTTGGGCTCAAGCCATAGTTTGATTTCTTCAATCGTTCTGGTCTTGGGCCGGCTCCAGGGGGCTCCCCGACGGCCCAAGGCGCCCCTGGGACCACCTCTCATCTCAGCACGTTGACCGTTTGGACTCCGAACCGCTCCCCAGCCTACTGGGAAAATGCGAGACGCACAGGGTGCGCCCAAGAGCGCCCGGGAGCGCCGAAGAATTCCAGTGATCCGGGGCTTTGGGGCCTCGAAGGCCACTCACACGGATCAATATACAGAGTCCGTCTGGACCCCATGGACATTCCATTTTGGGGGCCTCTTGGGGCCTCATTGGGGCGTCTGGGCTATTCGGAGGCTGTCTTGAGAGTTTTGTGGCGCTCTTAGACCGTTCGGGGCCCCTTGGACCGTCTCGGGGCCCTCTTGGGATCCTCTCGGCCCTCTTACAAAGATATCTGTAGTATTCAATCTTGATGATTCGGGATTCTTGAGGACCTGAGGGGCAATCAGGTGAAACGAAAATTCAGGAAATGATGGTGATGAAGAGAATGACCAGTATGCGGATGTGGACGATGAGGATGACAGGCTTTTTTGAAAATGGATGTTGCGAAACCATGTGTTTTCTTTGGTTTCGGGAGCACTCGGTTTTGAAATGCCTGCGAAACCTAAAAAGTTTTTGACAGATTTCGGCATGCGCGCGCGTGTGTACTTCGTCCAGTTTTTTCCAAATAATTCTCGCGACATCACGCGCGCAAGGGCGTTCGAACGATTTCGACATGCGCGCGCGCGAAGCCCGCTTGGTAGGATTGTATGTATGCAAATGTTGAAGAAGCTGTGCGTTTCTTAAGAATTCGCAAGAGCGCGCGCGCAAGCTTTTTTGAACATCAATGTTGCGAAACCCGGTGTTTGTTGTTTAAATGTTTTTTGGACATTCGATTTTGAAATCTTTACGAAACCGAAGGTTCTTGAAAGATTTCGGCATGCGCGCGCGAGGACGCGCGCGTGTGCACTTCGTTTTTTTTGTTTTTTTGTTTTTGTTTTTTTTGTTTTTTTGTTTTGTTTTGTTGTTCCCCCCCTTGCAAGGGTTTTTGAAAACTGAGGAGTTTTGATAAACGACTGCGCGCGCATGGTAGTTTTAGCAGAGGATGGTGGTGTGTGTGTGTGTGTGTGTGTGTCGCTACTGGCCCCTTTGGGATGGTGTCAATGCACATTTGGATGGACTATGGGGCAGAATCGTATGCAAATTGCAATGCGAAAAGGGGGCAGATAATTCCAGCGGGGGTCTCATATATTCTCTTGTAAGAAACGAGAATTGACTACCATGCACTGCGCTTGACCACCTCCTATGCTCTTGAAAACAGCCCACCCGACCACCCGAAACTTGGTTTGCAAAAGCCTATGCGGCGGCGATCGTGATGAGTGCTTGGCGTTGGCTGGTGCATCTTTGCGGCCGCGCTAGCCCGCACATGCTTGCGCGCACAGTTGCCAGTTAGTTTGGCGCGACCGACGCGGCCGCGGTGGCGCTGAGCGCTTGGCATTTCCCAGCGGGCACTTCAGTGCTAGTCGGTGACTTGGGCGGGCGGGGTATCAGGGCGACGCCGACAACTGTAGACACGACTATGAAAGTAGCGATGGTGGTGAAGGTGGCGATGACGACGGCAAGATCAAGTGATGGCGCCGGTGCTGATCACGCATACGATGATGGCGGCGTCTTCGCGTCGGTGATGAAGGTTTTGGAAAGAGTTCGACATGCGCGCGCGGCCGACGCGCGAGACCAGCCGCATCGTATTCTTTGACACGGATTGTGTCCCCCCCAGCACGCGCGCAAGGGCACTCGAGTGATTTCGGCATGCGTCGCGAGAAGTCCATTTGGCAGAATTCCTTGGCAAGGTTGAACACTGTATGGTTTTCTGACGAATTCGCGAGAGCGCGAGCGCATTTCTTTTTGATGGTCGTAAAAAACAAACATAAAAAGATGATGTTGCGAAACCGTGTGCTTTCATTTATGGTTTGAAAATCCTTACGACAGCGACGATGCTAGCTGATTTTGGAATGCACGCGCGACGACGCTCGCGTGTGCATTTCGCTTCATTTTCAAATCATTCTTGCGACAACCCGTGCGCAGGGGCGTTCGAACGATTTGGACAAGCGCGCGCGTGAAACCCTCGTGGTAGCATGTTATGAACATGTTGAAAAACCGATGGTCTCCTCAAAAATTCACAAGCGCGCAAATTGTCTTCGAAAGTCCGTGTTGCGAAAGCACTCGTTTTGACATGTTTTTTTGACGTTCGATTTTGTAATCCTTACGACACCAACCGTTTTTCCACACATTTCGGCATGCGCGCGCGACGACGCGCGTGTTTTTTTTTTTTTTTTTTTTTTTTTTTTTTTTTTTTTTTTTTTTTTTTTTTTTTTTTTTTTTTTTTAAAAAAAAAAAAATAATAATAATATATATATATATATATATATATATATATATATATACATATAATTATATATGCATTATTATATATATAATTATATATATATATATTATTTTTTTTTCCCCCCAACCATCCTGTGGTGTTGGGTCCTCGTTTTGAAGAGACGGTCCTCCTCCTCCCCTCCTCCTCCCTCCTCCCCTCTTCCCTGCGTTTCACCCACCCAGTACAGCGTTTCGTAGCCCCATAGGAGCTCCACCGAAGGCCCCAGTGCCCGCGCCCGCATGCGTCACCCACACCCATTTCGGCACACCCCTCACACGTTTCGTGGCCCCATAGGGAGCTCCACCGAAGGCCCCAGTGCCCGCGCCCGCATGCGTCACCCACACCCATTTCGGCACACCCCTCACACGTTTCGTGGCTCCATAGGGAGCTCCACCGAAGGCCCCAGTGCCCGCGCCCGCATGCGTCACCCACACCCATTTCGGCACACCCCTCACACGTTTCGTGGCTCCATGGGGAGCTCCACCGAAGGCCCCAGTGCCCGCGCCCGCATGCGTCACCCACACCCATTTCGGCACACCCCTCACACGTTTCGTGGCTCCATAGGGAGCTCCACCGAAGGCCCCAGTGCCCGCGCCCGCATGCGTCACCCACACCCATTTCGGCACACCCCTCACACGTTTCGTGGCTCCATAGGGAGCTCCACCGAAGGCCCCAGTGCCCGCGCCCGCATGCGTCAACCACACCCATTTCGGCACACCCCTCACACGTTTCGTGGCTCCATAGGGAGCTCCGCCGAAGGCCCCAGTGCCCGCGCCCGCATGCGTCACCCACACCCATTCGGCACACCCCTCACACGTTTCGTGGCTCCATAGGGAGCTCCACCGAAGGCCCCAGTGCCCGCGCCCGCATGCGTCACCCACACCCAATTCGGCACACCCCTCACACGTTTCGTGGCTCCATAGGGGACTCCACCGAAGGCCCCAGTGCCCGCGCCCGCATGCGTCACCCACACCCATTTCGGCACACCCCTCACACGCTTCGTGGCTCCATACGGAGCTCCACCGAAGGCCCCAGTGCCCGTGCCCGCATGCGTCACCCACACCCATTTCGGCACACCCCTCACACGCTTCGTGGCTCCATAGGGAGGTCCGCCGAAGGCCCCAGTGCCCGCGCCCGCATGCGTCACCCACACCCATTTCGGCACACCCCTCTCACGTTTCGTGGTTGCCCTCCATAGCGGAAGCTCCACGAAGGATAGGCCCCAGTGCCCGCGCCCGCATGCGTCACCCACACCCATTTCGGCACACCCCTCACACGTTTCGTGGCTCATAGGGAGCTCCACCGAAGGCCCCAGTGCCCGCGCCCGCATGCGTCACCCACACCAATTTCGGCACACCCCTCACACGTTTCGTGGCTCCATAGGGAGCTCCACCGAAGGCCCCAGTGCCCGCGCCCGCATGCGTCACCCACACCCATTTCGGCACACCCCTCACACGTTTCGTGGCTGCATGGGGAGCTCCACCGAAGGCCCCAGTGCCCGCGCCCGCATGCGTCACCCACACCCATTTCGGCACACCCCTCACACGCTTCGTGGTTCCATAGGGAGCTTCGCCGAAGGCCCCAGTGCCCGCGCCCGCATGCGTCAGCCACACCCATTTCGGCACGCCCCTCACGCGTTCCGTGGCCCCATAGGGAGCTCCGCCGAAGGTCCCAGTGGGTGTGCCCGCATGCGTCCCGCACACCCATTTCGGCACACCCCTCACACGTTTCGTGGCCCCACAGGGAGCTCCACCGAAGGCCCCAGTGCTGCCGTCCGCATGCGTCCCGCACACCCATTTCGGCTCACCCCTCACTCGTTTCGTGGCCCCATAGGGAGCTCCACCAGAATATATTCACCATTGCTTAC